CCCAAACACGATGGTACATTCTTCTATTCATGAGACCAATGTTTAAGAGGGAAACTGTGCAGAGCAGCCCTCGCCACGCCCCCCCCCCGGCCGCCCACCCCAAATAGTAGGCTATTCTATTCCTTTCATATGCTGATGATGTTATTCTCTCAGTTTTGTAGTTATTATTATTATTTTCTTATTAATGTGGATCCTGAGAGAGAAGATACCTACTAAGAAGGGCTCCCAATGGTTAATGGGGCTCAAATTAAAAACAAAACAGATTCTGGCCAGGTAACTCAGTTGGTCAGAGCATTACCTGGATACACCAAAGCTCCAGGTTCCATCTCTGGTCAGGGCACATATGAGAAACAACCAATCAATGAATGCACAAATAAGTGGTGTAAAAGAAAGAAAGCAAACAGAGCCTAGCACCATTTCTATGCAGGGCCTGAGGGAGAAGCCTGCACTAGCTGCCTGCACCCTCACAGGGCGGCTTGCCTGCACTGTGTTCCTGCCATCTGAGCCGGCCTTTATGAAGCAGTTCTCAGAATCCTATTTCAACCAATAGGACTGAGACTTTCTCCACCTAATTAGAGATACACAGCTATATCCTCATCAGCTTCTTCATAAATCAGAGGGGGCTCCATTCTGACCAATCAGGACAATGTCCTTTGGACCAATCAAACTGTGAGGATTTAGAGTCCTAACTTGCATGAGGGCAGACCAATCAGGGACCAGGAGCAGGGACTTCTGTCTATGTAAGTCAGCTCACCTCTGATTCTGGAAGTGCATGTTCCCTTTCCACCTAAGGCTGCCTCTCCTTGGCTGAAACACCAAAGATCTTTCTGGAGCTGACTAGGCAGGCATACACAGGCAGAGCAGAGCTGTCTAGCTGGACGGGGGCCTTGCCTCAAGGCCTCCTCACAGGAGTACTATTTTCACAGACATGCTGTGTCACAACTGAGCTGTTCGCACTAAATTAAGTTTCCTTTTTCACTGCATCCAAACTGGGAATTCCTGTTGGTGTTGAACTGACGCCAATGACCTGACCTTTGATGATGCTGAAAATTACTATCTAGCCCAGTGGCTGAGTGCTGACCTATGCACATGCACCAGGAGGTCACGGTTCGATTCCCAGAGAGGGCATATGCCCAGGTTGCGGGCTCCATCTCCAGTGTGGGGTGTGCAAGAGGCAGCCTAACAATGATTCTCTCTCTTCATCGATGTTTCTATCTCTCTTTCCCTCTATTTCTCTCTCCCTCTCCCTTCCTCTCTGAGATCAATCAAAATATATATTTAAAAAACAAGAACAAAAAACCCCTACCATCTATAATGCAAAAATAACCTATAATACAGATTTTTCCGTTAGTAAATTTTAAGTGTTTGTGAAAAAAATAATCTTGACACTTGGACAAAATCATGTAAAAATTAAGGTTTCATAAATCCTCCATCAAGATATCTAGGGAAAAGCATTAAGTCAAGATTTAGTCAATTGTGTGTTTTTATGTGTGTGTTTTTAAAAAGGGCAAATATTGAATTACTTCAAGAAGTGAGGGGTATTTTTGCATTTACATGATATAAACTACAGGTCATAAGTGTGTGAAAAGAACACATCTGACACATACCTTCCTAGGAAAACCTGAAAATAGGCATGTTTTAAGTTTATGCACTTATTCTTGGGCAACCTGAACTTATTTAGAAAGTTGTTAGAAAGAAATTCAAGTAATCATTACACATGGTTTTTTAAAAATCTTCACCCAAGGACATATTCATTGATGAGAGAGAGAGAGAGGGAGAGAAAGAATCACGACGTGAGCATGAGACCGGGGCTAAACAGTGTAAATTTATTATTCCTAATTTTGATTATAAAGCTAAAAGAGAGGGTCCCAGAAAACACTCCGAGGAGACTGTGTGCAGGAGGCTTACTTGTGAGACCGAGAGGAGCAGCACCCGGTAAAGAAGCTGAAGTTGGAACGAGGCTTGGGCTAATCCCGCAGTGGGGTATGGAACTTCCATGCCGCTTCAGAGCTGCCCTGAACTGAGGCAAGGAGGCCGTCCCTTTGTATTTCAGCACTGACCAGTCAGTGGACTCCGGCCGCCACAGGACAGGGAGCCTAACCTTGGGGAAGACAGCTCCCTCGGGCAAAGAGAAATTCCCCGGAGGAATCCAACCAGAAGCCATCATCAATCAGCGCTCCGGGCAGCTGGGGGGACTGACTCACGTCTCATTCCTGGAGGAGGGATCTGGGCAGTGTTATCACATAAGCACAAGGGATTTGTGATGCATCCTTATTTAACAGAAAAGAGAACTAAGAGGTAGCAACTTATTCAAGGTCACTATCAGAGTGTATTCAAATGTAAATTAATCCTTGGTCTCAAAACTAGAACCTGGTATGCTTCTCTTCAGCAGACACTGAAAAGTATTTACCTTTCTGCTGAGAAGTTTATAGCTCATTTTAAAAAATATATTTTGATTTTTTACAGAGAGGAAGGGAGAGGGATAGAGAGTTAGAAACATCGATGAGAGAGAAACATCGATCAGCTGCCTCCTGCACACCCCCTACTGGGGATGCACCCGCCACCAAGGCACATGCCCTTGACTGGAATCGAACCTGGGACCCTTCAGTCCGCAGGCCTACGCTCTATCCACTGAACCAAACCGGTTAGGGCTATAGCTCATTTTAATATTTAGCTAAAGTAACCATATTTACACGGATTATTACTATACTCTGCACTGATTTCTTTTCTGATTCTTATTTAGCTTTCTTCACATGCATATCATTTTGTTGGTACCTTCATAGGATTTATTACAAAACGGTCCATCTCATCCCCATCACCTCTTGGGAAAAGGGGCACAATGGCAGGCACAAGGTAATGGACACTCCATGGCCACAACCTTACCTGCTTTTACTGTCAAAAGGTAATTCTACTTTGTAAACGTTTCTCTTTCTATAATGCAAGCTCCTATAATGCAACTCTTTCTATAATGCAACTCCTTTAAGAGGAGTTGGGAGTCCAATAAATACCATCATTTTTATAAAGACTTGAATGAATGATTGAATGTCTTCTACAATAAAAGTTTTGTTTGTTTCGCTCTAGCCGGTTTGGCTCAGTGACTAGAGCGTCAGCCTGCGGACTGAAGGGTCCCGAGTTCGATTCCGGTCAAGGGCACATGCCCCGGTTGCGGGCTCATTCCGTGGTAG